AGAGTTGAGTTGGATATACAACTTGAACCTCCTCATGAAGATACATTCCATGAAGAGAATGTTGAGCCTCCTCAAGTTAGGAGGAGTACTAGGGATAGGAGACTTAAGAACTATGGTGATGATTTTATTATCTACCTAGTTGAAGGTTCTCGGGATACCCTTAGTTCAACTACTCCATATTGTTTCAATGTGGATAGTGACCCAAAGACTTTTAGTGAAGCAATTTCTTCCCAAGATAGTGCATTTTGGAAAGAGGCTATAAATGATGAGATGGATTCCATCATGGGAAATGACACTTGGGTCTTAGAGGAGTTACCTCCCGGTTGCAACCTCTTGGTTGCAAGTAGATTTTCACTAGGAAAAGGAGACCGGATTGCTCCATAGTGAAATTTAAAGCCAGATTGGTTATCCAAGGCTTTAGGCAAAAGCATGGTGTTGATTATTTTGACACCTATGCACCGGTTGCAAGAACAACCTCAATAAGGTTGTTAATTGCAATGACTTCGGTATATAATCTAGTGATTCATCAAATGGATGTAAAAACGACATTCCTTTATGGAGATCTAGAGGAAGAAGTGTACATGAAACAACCCGAAGGGTTTGTTTTGGAAGGACAGGAAAGTAAGGTGTGTAAATTGGCTAAGTCATTGTATGGACTTAAACAAGCACCAAAGCAGTGGCATCGGAAGTTTGAAGACACGATTTTGTCCTTCGGATTCAAAGTGAATCAAGCTGATAAGTGTATATATAGCAAATTTTATGACAAAGGTCATGGTGTCATCATTTGTCTATATGTTGATGATATGCTTATCTTTGGTACAAGTTTACAACAAGTAGAATTGACCAAGGAATTCTTATCCTCATCTTTTCAGATGAAGGATTTGGGGGAGGCGGATGTCATTTTGGGCATCAAGATAATTGGGAACAATGGAAGACTTATTTTAAGTTAATCTCACTATGTTGAGAATATGATCAAACGGTTCAATATGTTTGATAAGTGTCCCGTGAACACCCCTATGGAACCTAATGTTAAGTTGGTTAAGAATTCGGGGAAAACGGTTTCCCAATTGGAATATTCAAGGATAATTGGATCCTTGATGTATGACATGACAAGTACAAGACCAGACATTGCATTGGCTGTGGGAAAACTTAGTAGATTTACTAGTAACCCGGGTGCACAGCATTGGTTTGCAATTAGAAGGGTCTTGAGGTACCTTAAGGGTACGTTAGACTATGGTCTATCTTATAGTGGATTTCCTTCAGTTTTAGAAGGATTTTCAAATGCTAGTTGGATCACTTACAAAGAGGATGACTCTTCTGTAAGTGGTTGGATATTCATGTTTGGGGGAGGTGCCATATCATGGTCTTCCAAGAAATAAACTTGCATCGCTGATTCCACTATGGCAGCAGAGTTCATTGCTCTTGCTTCAGCTAGTAAGGAAGCTGAGTCGTTGAGGAATCTCATGCTAGAATTGTCTTTATTGTCAAAGCCAATGCCACCGGTGGCAATCCATTGTGATTCCAATTAGGCGTAGATAAAGGCTTATAGTCAAGTGTACAATGGTAAGTCTCGGCATATTTCACTAAGGTATAGCCTAGTGAAAGAGCTTATCCATGATGGGGTCATAAGTCTTGACTATGTTCCAACAAAGTTGAATTTGGCGGATTGCTTTACAAAGGCAATGCCAAGACATTCCATCATTTTTTCCATGAATGGAATTGGGTTATGTCCAAAAACACAGATTTGTGAAACTCAATCTAACGCTTGAAGAAACATCAAGTCTTAGATTCAATGTGGTTGAATTACATTTTTGTTGTTTGTTAGCAATGTTTGATGACCCACATTGCTATGGTACTTGTGATGTATTAGGTAGCGTCATTTAAAGTTCTCAAAGGTTTAGAGTTGAGAAGCTCTAAATGTAAGTGTCTTGTCACAAGGGCATAATTACGTATATGAGAACCTACCCATATAAGTTCGAAGTTTAGCAGCTTCAAAAAGTCTAGATGGACATATAGACTTTGATGAACTTATGAAAGATACGGACACATGGTTGTTTAAAAAGTGTCAAGTGATGATAAATTTGATTTATCTTGTGTGTACTTCACCTTCGAATGGTTGGATATATCCGTGTGATTCAATCCATATGGAAATCATGGGATATGATCATCTGAACAAAAGCAACCTCAGCCGTTGCAAGCATAACCCCGGAAATTGCCTTATCAATAACTTCAACACACCGAGTTCTAGTTTGCATTCGAGACAGGAAGCAATTGCATCACTTGCTTAGTAACACCTCCAGAATCTGAAGTAATAAGGTAATACAAAACCCAAAAGAACACCATTGGTTGTGAAATAAAGTTAATAAAACCTGCAGCTCCAGAGACGATTGACCCAACAATAGTAAACATAAACTTGGCACCTCCACCAAGAACAGACTTACTACTCAAAAACACACGCTGCCGAACATCGAGTCCTTGCACAGCAAAACCCTTAACCTTCTCAACCAAATCAACTCGACTAGCAATTAGCTCCCTAGCAATAGCATCAATATCAGTATAAATATCCCACCACTCTCGATCCTTAAACTTCATCCTCAAACTTATAAGCTTCTGAGCATAAGGAGAAGGCGACATCAACTCAGTAGACCGGCCAGTCACGTTAGCCGGCTTAATCACATAATGCTTAAACCCTGCCACAAACTCCGTCATATTATACTGCATTGCCAACCCATCAATCTGTTCCGAAACCGTGTCATAAAACTTAAGAAGTATACCTATCAACCATCCCAGGAACATCATTCTCTTCCATCCATTTCTTAAACCAAATTCTTTCAGCATAATTACTTTCCTCTACATGAGATTTCAAACCGAAAACGACATCTCTCCCTTCCACCCCAATCTTATACGAAAAGAAAATAACACAAGCTAAGAACCCAACAATCATCACTGTTAGGTTTTACAGTGTTTTCAAACAAGAAAAACAGTTAATAAAATGTGTGGGACAAAACCTAACTTATAAAAATACAAAACAATAATGTAATGCAATAATACAAACACAACACAATGTGTTACAATCAAGTAATAATATATCTAAGAAATTACAGAAAATTTCTAAGAAATCACTAATGTGAAGACTAATAAACTTGCCTTAACACCAAGCCGATCAAACACACAAGAACATAAGAATAGCAATGCCCCTTGAGACTACGACCTTGATACACTGTCAAAGGCGTATGAATACTTTCCTAAAGGGATTAATTTCCCCCACACGGTGCTTGGGTTATTCCGGAAATTCCCTTTGAGATACAATTGACAGCCCTTCTCGTTCTTAGCACAAAGAATCGAAACAGAGATGAATAAATTCACAATATTTGGAATGATTGCAAGAGTTTTCTCACAAACGTTTGCAAGGATTTTGAGAGAAAATTGTAGAGAATACTTGTGGAGAGAAGAAGAGAAATTTTTTGTGTTCTTCCGAATCTGAAAACAAGCAAGCCTTTTTAATAAAGACTTAACCGTCAAAATTTTGCGAAAAACAGACTGGCGCGGGCGCTCCACCAGGAGGCGCGGGCACGCCTCAAAATGGAGCGGGCGCTCCTAAACAGGAGCGGGCGCGCCTCTACTGATCTTGCGAAATTCACAAAGGAAGGCAGAGTGGTACGCGGTTTAGGCGCGACCACAGGCGCGGGCACGCCATCCATGACGCGCGGGCGCGCCACCAGACGTGCGGCCGTGCCAATTTCACCCTTCCAAATATCCAAATTCCAGTGAGGTCCACGGTTTAGGCGCGACCTCAGCGCGACCGCGCGTACCTAGCGCGGGTGCTACTCATGGTTCGCGAGCAAGCAACCAACAACACTCTTAATATTCCAACAATCCTCCCCCATTTAGAGTGTTACTTTAAAACATTCTCCACTTCTTACAATTAAATCACATCTCATGCATCAATGTCAATGTCCACATTACTTGCATTCATAAGTCCTTTGTTGCCCCTTTTCCCGCCTTTTGTAGCAACTGTCCCTGCTGCTTTACAGTTTGCATTAGAGGGTAAATACATACTGGCAATTTGTTTATCAGTAATTCATTGGATTATGGGGCTTCCGAGATTCTAGAGGATATACCAGGTCATAGTCCATACCTTACTGGGCTTAGCATTATTGGTGGAGTGGCATTGTTCCCGTCTGCTGTTGAGGTAAAACTAAATTCGGGGTGGAAATCTTCTATGGTCAATGCATCTTCATATCTTCTTACTGACTTACTAACTTGCTTGTCTGCTATATTTATGTCCACTGTCATAATCAACTCAGACTGTTGCATTTTCTGCAGGGGAATTTTGTTTTCGAGTTTATGATCATCAGTTTTAAGCAAATTTAAAATTTTTGAACCCTAGAGGTTTTTGTGTCGCAGAATATTTATCCATAGCTTGAAACTCATACTAACGGGGTATCTGGTGCGTGAATATAATGTGATTAAAGGAGTCGGTGATATAATTTACAATTCTATTAAAGTTGCGCAATAACTTGAATTACTAATCTGCGTATTGCTGATTCATTGGCTTTATGTGGATTTAATTTTCATGAATGTGCCATTGTGATGGCTATCTTTCCATTTAGGTTTTGGTGCTTAAATGTTGCTTTCAAGTCCTATGTGGTTAGGGTTGGTATTTCTCTCATACTGAATCAATTTCTGTGATGCAGGGAGCAATAATGGGACCTTTAATAGCAACCGTTGTTATTGCCCTTAAAGACTTGTATGCTGAGTTTGTGCTGTACGAGAACAAAGGAGAAGAGTAGTGAGTAAAATCAAATTCAGTTTCCATCTGAGTACCGCCCTCAGTTATGAACAATGGCTGATCTACTCATACCAGTCTGTCTAGTACATGATGTCCAGGAACACATTGCTCAGAAAATATGATACATTTTTGGGAGGATAATTTATTTGGCAACTTGATTGAAAGCTGTGTCAATCATTGTTGTTGTAATTTTAAGGCAGTGCATTTGTAAATTTGTAAATTTGTATTAGTTTCTTCATCTAATGGCTAATCCAATTTACTTCATGTACTTGTGTAAAAATTTCATGTGGAAATCACTCCTGATGGTATCATTAATGAAGCGTTTAATTGCTTTCGTCTCACCACGTGCTTGATTCTTGAACACAACATCATCATCCCACCTGCACCACATCAACAGGATAACTTTAAGAGATCAGGACACAGTAACAGTCTAGTAGTCACATCGTTTGTAATTGGCTAGAATTTAAAAGGCTAACCTTCTTTTAACATTGAAGTTAGATGGAGCATTAACATTAATTAGAGGGTTTCCCCTCATAAGTTCTGCTTCTTTGTTTTTCAGTTCTTCCTCTTGCTGTTGTCGATCCTGCAAAGAGCACAATAGCAATGTATAGTCAATAATTCAATATCAATTCAGTCAAAAGTTGCATCACATTTTTAAACACCCCCCACCCCACACACAGAAAAAGAATAAAAAAAAAAAGAGAAAATGAAGAAAGAACTATAAAAGGAAAACAAAGACTCAAGAATCAAATTACAATAAGCGTGTACGTGGAACTGACATGTACAAAAACTAGTTTAAGGTTTAAAAGTCACACCTTTCGCATTTTCTCTTTAGCCCTTTCCTTCTTAATTTGTTCAAGCTCCGCCAAAAGCGCTTCAGTTTCATCTTCATCATCATCATCCTCATCCTCATCATCGTCACTGAAAACAGGGAAGTTAGCACGTAAGAAACCAGCATGTCAAAACAGATCTCTCATACAAAAACAGGAGGAAAAAAAAAAAAAACTGAACAATCATAAATTCATAATGGTTTTTGTAGAAAACTGTCTAATAGCTCTGCACATATCTTTGAACTTTAGTAGGAATAACTTCAAATCAAAATCCAGTCATTTATGTTGCCAAGTACTAAGAGTCTTGATCAAGAGCTGAAGCAACCCTTTTATTCATGTTTAGCACTTTGAATGAACTTTTTAGCATTCTCGCCACATTTTACATATTCAAAACCAGGGAAAAAGAAAAGAAAAAAAAAGAATCTAAACCAGATACCTTCAACTTAAACACACATTTCATTTCTTTGCGACTATCAAGGTCTATCGGAAGAGCGATAGGTTGATAAAGGTAAAGTTTCTATGTGGCAAGGAGATTGTGAATGTTAATAGTGCTTATGCTCTCCAAGTTGGTTTAGGTGCAAAGAGAAACAACAATTTTGGGAGGATTTAGATGAGGTGGTACAAGGTGTCCACCACACAAAGAAATTATATATTAGAGGTGATTTCAATGGACATGTTGTGGTGAGCCGAGATGGCTTCAAGAGGGTTCATGGAGGCTTTGGGTATTGGCGGAGGGACACAGGTAATGAGGCTATTATAGATTTAACTCAATCATATGATTTAATTTTGGCTAATACATGGTTTAAGAAGCGGGATTCGCACTTCGTAACTTTTCGGAGTGGAGCAAATGCAACACAAATAGACTTCTTGCTCACAAGGAGCACGACTAGACAAAGTTGCTTAAAGTGCAAGGTCATCCCAAGAGAGAGTGTGGTCACCCAACACCGTCTTTGGGTTATGACTATTCGTTTGAAAGAGAAAGTGAAGAAAAAAGGAAGACAAGAGGAGCCAAGGATAAGATGGTGGACTCTAAGGGATGCAAACACCAAGGTTTTACAGAAAAGGTAATCGAGGTAGATTGGGATGGAGAGGTGGATCCAGACATGACTTGGTTACGAATGAAGAACTGTTTCTTGAGAGTAGCCAAAGAGGTCTTAAGGGAATCAAAGAGGAGAACTTCGATGCAACGTGATACTTCGTGGTGGAATGAAGAGGTGAAAGTAGTCATTAAGCAAAAAAGGGAATGTTAAATGTAAGAGAGACGAAACCTTTGCAGCATATAAAGAGGCTAAGAGTAAGGCAAAGACACCTAATCGCCAAGCGAAAGAAAAGGGGCTTATCAGGAGATTTATGAAAAGCTTGACTCCAAGGAGGGAGAAAAAAAATTATTTATAAGATGGCAAAGAGAAGACAAGAGGCAAGGTAGGATATTGGCATGGTAAAGTGTGTTAAAGATAAGAACCAAGTTGTTCTTGTACAAGATGAGGACATCAAGGAGAGGTAGAAGGGGTACTTCGATGAATTGTTTAATGGAAGTAATGGAGTGGTGACAGGAGATACCTTTGTGAGTGATGAAGAAATCAACATGGAGTTTGTGCAGAGCATTATGAGAGTAGAAGTGGAGCTTGCACTGAAGAAGATGAAGCCTAAGAAGGCGGTTGGGCATGATGGTATACCGGTAGAGGTGTTTGGATAATATTGATATTGATTGGTTAACAGACCTCTTTAACAAGATATGGAGAGCTACAAGGATCCCGCAAGATTGGAGGAAGAATACCTTGATCCCGGTCTATAAAAACAAAGGAGACGTTGAAGATTGATCTAATTATCGAGGGAACAAGCTTATGAACCACACTATGAAGTTGTGGGAAAGAGTAATGTCAGAAATTCACGAGTTATTTACACGTACTACACACAAATATTTATATATGTTGGCCGGTTAATCTCCCAAAATCACATTTAGTTAAGTAATTATGTTGGCCAAAATCAGACAAGTGATACCTTCTCGCAAGAGAGAGAAAAAAGAGAGTAGTTTCTCACAAAAATTTGTATTTAGTAGCAATAATAAATTAATAATATGTCATTAATGTCAAATTTGGTTTTAAATTAGTTACGCTATTTAAAAGGTAGCTTCTTTAAAAGAAGAGTAAGTTTGGTTTCATCTTATACGTATATTAGAGTAAGTTAAAATATGCATATATATTCAAACTAGATTTTCATCAACTCTAAAACAATACGAATGGTTTCTCCCCGATCAACTTGTTATCCAAAAAAATGGACCGTTTACAAAAAAAAAAATCTCAATACGAGAAGTTGGCCCTTTTGTGTGTTATTGTACACCTTAGAAGGTCTCATTACAACTTATTGAATTTATTTTTTTGTGTGATTCAATTTTGAGAGTATGGAGGTGGTTGTAGTCCTTTCGCTTGAGGATAAATTAGCATACATGCATGGGAGCTTCTTTGTATATTCCTAGCTACTAATATGATGAAGTAGATATATTAATATTCTAATTTCTAACATCAACTAGTCTATAGTCTTCCCACCACCCATCCCAAAAATTAAAATTAATATCAAGTATTTAATAAATACTTATTTACTTAACTTCGTAAATAATTATAAAAAAAAAAATAAAAAAAATAAAAAAATAAAAAAGAAAAAAAGACTAGTTCTATGCTGGATGGAAGACTTAGGTGCAACTAACGACCATATAAATATAATAATATGTGCTACTATAGTCTAAATACATGTGAAGCCTAGTAAGTTAGTACAAAATTGAAATTATTTAATCCAACTCCCAAATTATAATAAGCTCATGAGAATGACATTTTTGGAATAAGAAAAAGTTTAATTAAATTATAGGCAACTTGAATTTGAGGGGGTAGACTAATTAAAAGAGCAAACATATTGAGTTCACAATGTTATAATGTTCTAAACAAACATAACACAAGAGAAAAATAAAGCAATAATTTAGCTAGTGAAAGGCCTTAGATTGCCTTTAATTTGTGGTGGTAATAATGGGGAAGCTGTGTTGTTCGTCGGAAGACGACGAGACGAATATCACCGGACTCTTGATTGTTGCGTTCGTTGCTGTGATGTTGTTCTATGTCTGCCTCCAGGAACCACCTCGGCGACGTGTGGTTGCCGTTTACCGATGCTATTGATAAGTTTGTCATCGATCGCCTTTTCTTATGTTTCTTCAAGTTTTATGTTTTCATATATCAATTTTATGTAAAGATCAGTGCATCTAAGTTATATTATTTATAAGATGATCATCTTTGCATTTACTCTTATAATTTTGGTTTAGCTAAATAAAAGCGTATATGTCTCACGTGCTACTAATCTGCTATTAAAAAATTTGCTACTCTGAAACTCATTTTCACTTGTAAAAAAAAAACAAAATTGCACCTTAAATTGCCACTCAAAGACTTTTATATATATTAATATAACTTAAATGCAATAAGAGCAGGCAGCAATACGAGTAGCATCGACCTGATCATCATTTGACATTGTCACTTGAAATTTTGTATCCTGCATATAATTAGCAAATATCCTAAGTTAAATATGTTAAAAATTAGCCTTAAAAGAGCATATATCCTAATCTTAATCTAATTAGCTAATTGTCATGGTGACTAATCTACAAAGTTAGGTGAATTGGGCGGATTGAAAGGATTAAGTGCTCAAACATAGTGTTAATCTCGAACGTTATTTGTGTGAATGTGTGAATGTAAACTCGTCAAGCCCTTATTAGCAATTTCCTTTTCTCTCTTAGCAATTTCTGTGTGTTTGTGTGAATGTAAATTACTGCATCCAAATCCAAAGGATGTGTTTGCCTCGATTATATTGTTATCCTCAACCCACATTTTAACTCGTTCTATAGCAATTGAGGGCGTCCCATTACTCACTGTGAGAAATGTTTTTATTTATCACAGTGGCATTTGTTTGATCGAACTCCCTATTTCATGCGTAGATGATCTTGTCTCATTTCTGTATGGCTTTGTTGTAACGACCCATAACACTGGTGAACAAACCTTGCATCTTTCATATTCTACAACAAGCTTGTGAATTTCCAGTTTATAATTAAGAGGGAAACACTGGCGCTTGATTGAGTGCATCAGATAATAATTATATCATTTTGCAGCTTTTCAAAGCTTTACCGTGGAGGATATTGCCCTTTTTTTTTTTATAAATCTTGCTAACAAGCGTTCTGAAGCATTAGATAACGAATTAATATATTACTTAAAATAGTACTCCCTTCGTCCCCTTTTGTTTGTCACTTTTGAAGGAAAATCACAAGAATTAAGGTGGATAATGTGAAGTAATGAACGTATATGGAAAAGTAAAATTCTCAACCAATAAAGTAATAAAAGTGTATGGGAAAGAGACATTTTCAATTAAAAAAGTTATTAAAGTACACGAAAAAGAGAAATTGAGAGATTCAAGAGCGTAAAACATTAAATTAGTTGTCAAAAGTTGGCACATTTTTATGGCAAATGTTAGGGTAAAATAGGAAGAGGACTTAATAAGGACAAAAAAAATTAAGGGTATAAAAGTTTTTTTTTATAATTATGATAATATGAAATGTGACTAATATTTAAGGGCACCCAAAATGGCTAAAGTGACAAACAAAAGAGGACGGAGGGAGTATTAAGTTTGGAATGCATGACAAAATCACGCGTCAATAGCTGCAATTAATATTAATTTTACTTTAATATTTCCACATTTAGTTCTCTTATTATCTAACGTCCTGGAGCGCTCATTAATTAGTTTTTGCCTTCTATTATTCAAATAGACGTACACAATCATTTTAATATTCAAATTTATCACAATTTTTTTTTTTAAATAACACATGCGGATTTCATTAAAGAAGATCAAGTTCCACCAAAGTTTATTAACACACTGATAATATTTGGTTCATATATATCTATCCTAATCCTATCACCACCAAAGAAGATCAAGTGCAACACATAGTTACGTCGCGCTGGATCAGGAGGGGGGAGATTAAAGTACACAGATCGGGGCAGTACTTCTTGTTCGAATTCCAAGAAAGCTCCGACCTGGAAGGCCTGATCAGCGAGGAACGACAGTGTTTGACGGAAGAATTATCAATGTTAGAAGGTATGGTGTGGATTTGGTTCCGAATCAAATGAGCTTCACTCTGACGAGGCTATGGGTCAGAATTTATGGGCTACCGTTGGCTTATCTGACTTCGAGGTGGGCTAATCAGATTCTTCAACATGTGGGGTATGTGGAAGAAATTGAGCAGGAGGGCGATGTACTTCCTGCACATGCTGAACTGAGGGCCAGGTTGCTAGTCGATCTTTCTATACCTTTAATCCCAGGCTGTTTCATCCCCATGGAAGGAAATAGGGTGATCTGGGTTTATTTAAGGTATGAAGGTGTGTTAAGGTTTTGTAAGTCCTGTGGCTGTGTAGGTCATTCTACGTCGAGATGCAATCTCCATGCAAGCGTAGCAAGGAGGAGGGTGAGAAAAAGACTTGACGAAGTGGAAGCGGATGGGGTTAGGGTTCTTTATGGGCCGGCTGAGTACCCATTCTACTCAAACCTAATCCGTGGCTTACCGGATTGGTATAGATTTAGAAATTTTGAGATTGACTTACTCTTCTATGAAGGAAGGGAGGGGAGGTGGGTCCATAGAAGGGATCATAGGGAGGATAGAAGCATGGAGAAGAACAATGATTTGGAGAGTTTCTCATCGTCACAAGAGGATGATGGGAGCGAGAGATTTCATACGGGAAATGAGGAATGGTCAAATGGGGAATCGGAGTTAGCAGAGATGCAAGAGGAGGACCCTAGATCGAGCCTTTTTCTCTCACCTGGGAGGCGATTTGGGCTAGGAGGGGATCCATATGCAGAGTTTACGCAAGAAGGCCCAATACAAGAGGGTTTCGGCAATGAGATCGGGGAAAGCTTTCTCACACCACTGAATCAGGGCATAGTGAATGAAAATGCATCTAGGGGTGAGATGGGGCCGAACCTTTATAGACCAATAGCTGAGAGGGGACGAGCTCCTATTTTCCCCAACACTTCATCGTCGCTGCCAAGGGCCCTATTTCAAGGGTCGACTTTTGAAGTAGGGGGGCCTTCGTCTATGCCGCAAGCCTCTATCAAGGAGGAGGTTCAGGAAATTTGTTCGACACCTTGGGGATCTCACAGTGGGCTGCAAGTCAGAGGAGGGAGGTATCACAGCCTGAGTTGGAAGGGAATAATAGGGAAAGAATTAGCAAGAGAAATGGTATGGTTGACAGTGTCTTTGGCAGGGAAAATACGGGTTTACTGGGTCCAACAAACGATGAAGAAATTGACCAATACTATGATGCTGAATATGCTAAAATCGTGGAAGCAAGTACGATCCTCTCACTGGGCATTAGACAAGCAAGAAGGGCTGAGATAACGGAGTTGCACCGTTCAATGAGGGATGTTCGATCACTCTATCTGTTGTTGTCGCCATCGGAAATGGGAGGATTGCCGAATCTCCCCCTCACGGAATTCGATCCAACAAATACTCTGGTATCAAATCTAAGTTCGTTTAATTTTACTGAATTATTCAATTGTGACGACAATGCAAAAAACAGGAAGCGCATTAGAGGAGCGGTGGGACATATGCCATTATCCTTAGAGGGTGACTCGGTTCAGCATAGTGAGACTGATTTCGAATGGGTGGAAAGAAAGAGGCTAAAGAGACTTCACAGATGGTCGGAGAAAGGAGGGTTCACTATTTGGCTCACGGATGAGAAAAAGGGTGTCAAATTTGCGTCAAAGGCTATTACCGATCCTGATATGGCAAGGGATCTAGGGGTTGAGATTGATGGGGATCTTAAACTGAGGGGTAGAAACAAGAGGCCTCAAACCCTGTCTTCTTCATCTACCGAATCATACAAGAGGCAAAAGAGTGAAGAGGTAACTTCGGCGTTCAAGGACACTAGAGATGATATGGAGGTCGATCTTCAGCTATCATTGGTCGACCAGGCTAGAGTTACTTTAGGAGGTGAGGTGACTGCTCCAATTCAGCCCCCGTCAGGATTATGAAGGTTGTTTCATGGAATTGTAGGGGTCTTAATGAGCTACACACCCTTACAATTCCCTATATAGTGTGGCTATACCAATCGAAGTCACCTTCTTTTTTGTTTTTATCAAAAACTAAAATGGATTATGCTCTAGCAGCGGATAGATTTAGTTTCTTAGGCCCTACTTCTTTTTTTGGATGGGATGCTATAGGAAGTAGTGGTGGTCTGCTTGTTCTTAGTTGGTCTGATGACTTAGTAGAATGTTTGTTTACTTCAAAAAAACTTTATCCTTTGTAAAATTTCCTATCTTAATGGAAGTTCTAAGTTTATTTTATTTTTTTACGGCGAGCCTCATGTAGATCAAAGGAAAATTGTTTGGGAACAACTACAATGGCTTTTAGAGGAATTCAAAAATGTACTAGTCATAGGAGATTTTAATCAAGTTGAGAGTGGGAATGGCAAATTAGGGGGCTCGGCTCGAATAAGAGGGATTTAAGCTTTTCTAGATTGAAGGTTTAATAGCAATGCTACAGAGGTTCCTTTCTCGGGACCAAGATTTACATGGAGTAATAAGAGGGAGGGAAGTGAGCTTATTCTTGAAAGGTTGGATCGAGCCTATGTTACAGAAGACTGATTCGGTCATTCTCCGAATGGGAGGATCATCCATGAACCTATGGTGTGCTCAGATCATGCAGCAATCACTTACATTGACCAGCCACATACTTCGAGGTTGAAAAGGCCTTACCAGATTGAAAACTGGTGCCTTAAATTCCAAGAGGTGAAAGAAATAATGGTGTCGGCTTGGGGTGAAGAGGTCAGGGGTTCTTGTATGTTTCGTCTGTCAAGGAATCTTGATCGGATTAGGTCAAGACTTCAACACTGGTTCTTAGAAAATAAGAATTTCTGGGGTATTAACTGGAGAAAGCTAACGACTGCGTTACTAGAAGTCGGTTCAAACATAACCTCTATCCATGACGGGGAAAGTTATATCCACCACATTCAGTCCCTGGAATTTGAGAGCAATTTAAGTCTCACGTATTGGAGACAAAGAATGAAGGAAAATTGGGTTAGGTTTGGGGATTGTGCGACTCCAACCATGTATAGAAGAGTGAAGCAAAGGCAGGCTAGAAATTCGATTATAACTATTAAGAATGATAATGGTTCCTGGGAGGAAGACTCAAATAAAGTGGAAGAGGTGATTCTAGATTCTATTAAAAAGATCTACAACTCGGATCCGATAGGAAATAAAGAGGAAGAGATTGATCTGGTTCTTTGACAGCTTGACATTCCTCAACTACAGGAAAATGATAAGGTTTGGTTAAATAGGGAGTTCTCAGTTGAAAAGATTACAAAGGCTATGTTTGATTTACCATGCTCCAAGTCTCCGGGTCCAGATGGTTTCACTGTGGATTTTTTCAAGACATATTGGAAGGAAGTTGGGCAGTTGGTGGTTGACAGTGTGAACCAATTTCTGAGAACAGGTAATATGCTAAAGGAATGGAATCAAACTCTTCTAGTGTTGATCCCAAAAGTTAAGAATCCAGAGATAGCTAGTCACTTCAGACCTATAAGTCTTTGCAACACTGTCTACAAATGCATCTCATGATGCTTGGTGAATAGGTTAAAACCTATCCTGTCAACTCTCATATTGGAGAACCAGCATGCCTTCATACCAGGAAGGTATATGGAGGATAATATTATGATGAGCCACGAGTTGATGCACCTGATTAACTCAAAGAAAGGCTCAAATTTTACAGCAGTCAAGATAGACATGTCCAAAGCCTATGATAGAGTGGACTGGCTATTTCTTATGGAAGTTTTGCAAGCCTATGGCTTTTCTAACCATTGGATCAGAATGCTCTCACAGTGTTTCACGACGGTGAGTTTTAAGACAGTCATTAATAGGAAAGTTTCGGGGCACTTCAACCCAAGGTACGGGTTAAGACAAGGGGATCCTCTATCTCCGTATCTTTTTATTTTCTGTATGGACATTCTTTCAAGGATGTTGACTCTGGCGGAAGATATCAACCAGTTCCAGGGTTTGAAGATTTCGAGAAGATCCCCCTCGATATCTCATCTCTTCTTTGCAGACGATGCCATGTTATTCTGTAAAGCAAATCAGAAGTCATGTGCTTGTATTTCGGATATTCTTATCCGTTTTGGCAGGGCGTCGGGCCAATAACTTAATCTCCAAAAGTCCATGGTTAAGTTCTCTCCAGGTTTGGACAATGACAGGAATCTGGAGGTAAAACAAGCTCTTTCTATGCCAGAGACCGATAACATGGGTATCCATTTGGGGGCCTCGATTGACATCCAGGGGAGAAAAAGCAACCATTTCAACTTCTTGGTGGACAAGGTTTCGGCGAAAATAATGTGTTGGGCTTCCCTCCACCTTTCTCAATCAGCAAAGTTGATTCTTATCAACACAGTTTTGGTAAGCATGTTTGCTCATGTTATGAAATGCCTGAAACTCCCCCAAAGTGTGGCGAACAAGATTCATTCCCTCATCACCCGGTTTTTGTGGGCTAACAAGGGTTGCAAAGGAATTCATTGGGTGAATAGGGGTATTACCCAGCTGCCCAAAAGCATGGGAGGCCTAGGCATTAGAGGTTCCTCAACTTTAAATGATGCTCTAATCTTCAAACAGGCCATCAAAATGCATCTCAACCCACAACTTCTTCTTTCAAGAGTCTACAAAGGACTCCAAGAGTGTGAAATATGTAATATTACTAAGCCATACGCGAGGAAAGGTAATCCTTCTGTGGGGAAAACTAATCTTCAAAAGGTCGTCAGAGTTTTTAGAGATGGCTTTGCCTGGAAGGTAGGGAATGGGAAGGGTATCTCGGCAATTGGTATGCCATGGGTAAAAGGGGAAACTCCCTTAGCCAAGTCTAGCCAAACTTTGAGGACAACTTTGAATTGGAAAGTTAGCGATTTTATTATTGGGGATTCTAAATCTTGGAATGCAGGGAGGATAAGAGAGTGTTTTGAGTGAAATTGGGCAAAAAGCATTATTGCAATGGAACCTCCACAACCAAAGGAGGATGACTTCGCATACTGGAAATACCACCCATCAGGAAGGTATACAGTTAAATCAGGTTATTACTATCTGTCAAAGAATGTTGGGTTAGAAGAGTCAAGCTTTGTGGCAAGGGACCAGCTTTTCGTCAAATTGATATGGCGAATGCAGATCCAACCAAAATGGAAGTGGTTTCTATGGAGGCTATTCCATGATGGGATTGCAGTGAAGACTAACCTGGCTAGGAGGGGCGTTCCAACCGATACGGTATTTGATTACTGTAGGAATGGAGATGAGGACAACCAAAATTTATTTAGATTTTGTATTCAGGCAAGAGATATCTGGGATAACAGCTCCCTGAATATTTTCCATGACTCTACTGATTCTTCTTCATTACGGAGATGGATTCAGCATCATATCCTGCTTTTTCATAGCGAGGATGGGAGACTTGGGAATAAGTATGTTTTGTTTATAGCTACCTTGTGGGGTCTGTGGAACTCAAGAAATGAAAGATGTTTCAGAGGAATGGTGGGGACTACGAGCCGGGTGAGAGAAATCATAAACCTGGCTTTAAAGGACCATGAGATTTTTCTGAACCAAGATTCTATGATTTCTGAGCATGAAGGTACGAATGAAGGGAATAGTAGTTGGCCTCCGGGGTTCTTTCACGTCCAACTAGGTAAGGAAAAGAAAGGGTTCGATGGCTTCATTGTGGAAGTAGATGGTTCCTGGGATAAAAATACTACGAGGGCAGGAATTGGATGGGTCGTTAAGGCTGATAACCATGCTCTAGGGCGGGAGGAAGGTGGAAAATAGGGGATGGCAGCATCTGCTCTACAGTGTGAAGCTTGGGCGTGTCTGGAGGCTTTGAGGTGGGCCAGGACTAAAGGAAAGCAAGGTATCCTAATTCTTTCTGACTCAACTTCTTTTTTGAACATCCTACAGAGTACAAAAGGGGAAGACATTACGATATTATGGATTATCAAGGAAATTAAGGCAGTGGGGACAGAATTCCAGAGATGCACCATTCTGAAGTCCAAAAGGCAAATGACATTGCTAAGCAATACAGGGTTAACTTTATTTGATTTTTCTGCTCTTATTTGCTGTTGTCAAAAAAAAAAAAAAAAAAAAAAAAAACTTACTTGATTCTAACATCATACATATCCAAAATCTAATGACAACCTACAATTACATTAGAAAGTATAGAATATTAAACTTACATGTGAGTAATATATAATTTTAAATGAAATAAGAAAATCTATAATTTACATATACGATGTAAAATTAAGTTAGCACCAAATTGAGGACGAAGAGTTCCAAAACCTATAGTAGGAGCATGAACATAAGATGGAGAGAGCTCAAAGGAGAATCGTTGCAAAATCATTGCCAATGCCAATTTAGCTTCCATCATCGCAAAATTCGATCCAATGCATATACGAGGGCCCCATCCAAATGCAAAGAAACACATATTATTTTCTTTTGTGGCCATCAAAATTCCTTGTGAAAATCTCTTTGGGTTAAATTCCTTTGCATCATTACCCCATAATTTTTCACTATGATGAACAAAAATACTTGGCAAATTAACATGTACACCCGCTAGTAGAACCATGTTGCCTACTCTCATTTCGTGGCTAACCTTTCGGCTTAGGGAATACACCAGCGAATATAGTCATAGAACCTTATGAAGTATCATGTTCACCTAAACAAATTAATTAAAGCTCATAATAATAATGCATACATCAAATTCGATCAATCACATTATTAGCAATGGATTATTAGTTATTGATCAAATAATATTTAATTTTTTACAGTTAATTTTTTACAGTTATGAACAATGGCTGATCTACTCATACCAGTCTGTCTAGTACATGATTTCCAGGAACACATTACTTAGAAAATATGATCCATTTTTGGGAGGATAATTTATTTGGCAACTTGATTGAAATCTGTGTCGATCATTGTTGTTGTAATTTTAAGGCAGTGCATTTGTAAATTTGTATTAATTCATTTCATAGTCTGTTTTCGATTTATATGACAGTTTGAGTGGTATTCAGGTCTCCCATTTTTGCTGTACTTAAAGGCTAAAGCCATTCGAATCGAGGTCCTTCCAAACTCATGTTGTAAAGAAATCACAAGATTATAAGAATACAAATGTATCATTGTTTTACAAGTCTTCCAATGTTGATAAGATATGTTTATGTAATTTTAATTATCTGTAATTTGCTTCTGGAGGGTTGCCTCGGGAAGAAATTACTCGATATTACTTGTATACTATAAATGTTTTTTTTTTTTTTGGAATTAACTAAATTAATAAAGCACATGGAATATGATATTGTGGTACATATACTTGATTGAAGCTTTCAGGTTTGAAATTTGCATGGAGCCCAAACATTTCATAAACTGATTTTACTAAGAAATTAATTCTAGTAGAGTCAAAATGATTTTAACAATTTTGTCAAACTGCAAAATAAAAAAATAAAAAAAAAAAAAACAATTATATTTAGGTCGGAATAATAAGAAGGGTTCATCTACTAGTCAATTCTTTCTTTCATTGATTAAATCTACTTGCACAAACAATTAGACAAGTACCACTAGATCGTGAGTACAATAAGAAAATATGGAATTCGTATTACAAAAGTATTCCAAAAGGCAATAGCTGGAGACCAAGTTTTCATCCAAACAAGTAAATAAACCTTAGTTTGCACTATCAGGGTAATAAAGACATTCTGTTTCAAGAAATTGTGGTGGATACAGGAAAATAGTTTCTTCATCTAATGGCTAATCCAATTTATTTCATGTACTTGTGTAAAAATTTCCTGTGGAAATCACTCATGATGGTATCATTAATGAAGCGTTTAGTTGCTTTCGTCTCACCACGTGCTTGATTCTTGAACACAACATCATCATCCCACCTGCACCACATCAACAAGATAACTTAGGAGATCAGGAAAAAGTAACAGTCTAGTAGTCACATCGTTTGTAATTGGCTAGAGTTTACAAGGCTAACCTTCTTTTAAAGTTGAAGTTAGACGGAGTATTAACATTAATTATAGGGTTTCCCCTCATAAGTTCTGCTTCTTTGTTTTTCAGTTCTTCCTCTTGCTGTTATCGATCCTGCAAAGAGCACAATACAATGTATAATCAATAATTCAATATCAATTCAGTCAAAAGTTGCATCACATTATTAAACACCCCCCCACCCCACACACAAAATAAGAAAGAACTATAAAAGGAAAACAAAGACTCAAGAATCAAATTACAATAAGCGTGTACGTGGAACTGACATGTATAAAAACTAGTTCAAGGTTTAAAAGTTACACCTTTCGCATTTTCTTTTCAGCCCTTTCCTTCTTAATTTGTTCAAGCTCCGCCAAAAGCGCTTCAGTTTCATCTTCATCATCATCATCCTCATCATCGTCACTGAAAACAGGAAAGTTAGCACGTAAGAAACCAGCATGTCAAAACAGATCTCTCATACAAAATCAGGAAAAAAAAAACTGAACAATCATAAATTCATAATGGTTTTTGTAGAAAACTGTCCAATAGCTCTGCACATATCTTTGAACTTCAGTAGGAATAACTTTAAATCAAAATCCAGTTATTTATGTTGCCAAGTACTAAGAGTCTTGATCAAGAGCTGAAGCATCCCTTTTATTCATGTTTAGCACTTTGAATGAAGTTTTTAGCATTCTCGCCACATTATACAAATTCAAAACCGAGGAAAAAGAAAAGAAAAAAAAAGAATCTAAACCAGATACCTTCAACTTAAACACCATGGAATAACATTTCATTGCTTTGCGACTATCGAGGTCTATCGGAAGAGCAATAGGTTGATAAGGGTAAAGTTTCTATGCGGCAAGGAGATTGTGAATGTTAATAGTGCTTATGCTCTCCAAGTTGGTTTAGGTGCAAAAGAGAAACAAAAATTTTGGGAGGATTTAGATGAGGTGGTACAAGGTGTCCACCACACTAAGAAATTATATAATAGAGGTGATTTCAATGGACATGTTGTGGTGAGTCGAGATGGCTTCATGGAGGCTTTGGGTATTGGCGGAGGGACGCAAGTGGTGAGGTTATTATGGATTTAACTTAATCATATGATTTAATTTTGGCTATACATGGTTTAAGAAGCAGGATTCACACTTCATAACTTTTCGGAGTGGAGCAAATGCAACACAAATAGACTTCTTGCTCAGAAGGAGCACGACTAGACAAAGTTGCTTAAAAGTGCAAGGTCATCCCAAGAGAGAGTGTGGTCACCCAACACCGGCTTTGGGTTATGACTATTCGTTTGAAAGAGAAAGTGAAGAAAAAAGGAAGACAAGAGGAGCCAAGGATAAGATGGTGGACTCTAAGGGATGCAAACACCAAGGTTTTTACAGAAAAGGTAATCGAGGCAAATTGGGATGGAGAGGTGGATCCAGACATGACTTGGTTACGAGTGAAAAACTGTTTCTTGAGAGTAGCCAAAAAGGTCTTAAGGGAATCAAGTGGGAGAACTTCGATGCAGCGAGATAATTCATGGTGGAATGAAGAGGTGAAAGTAGTAATTAAGCAAAAAAGAGAATATTAAATGTAGGAGAGACGAAACCTTTGCAGCGTATAAGGAGGCTAAGGGTAAGGCAAAGGCAGCTATTCGCCAAGCGAAAGAAAAGGCTTATCAGGAGATTAATGAAAAGCTTGACTCTAAGGAGGGAGAAAAAATCATTTATAAGATGGCGAAGAGAAGACAAGAGGCAAGGAAGAATATTGGCATGGTAAAGTGTGTTAAAGATAAGAACCAAGTTGTTCTTGTACAAGATGAGGACATCAAGGAGAGGTAGAAGGGGTACTTTGATGAATTCTTTAATGGAAGTAATGGAGTGGTTATAGGAGATACCTTTGTGAGTGATGAAGAAATCAACATGGAGTTTGTGCGGAGGATTATGAGAGTAGAAGTGGAGATTGCACCGAAGAAGATGAAGCCTAAGAAGGCGGTTGGGCATGATGGTATACCGATAGATGTGTGTAGGTGTTTGGATAATATTGGTATTTATTGGTTATCTGATTACGAAAGGAAAAGAAAATAAATGGAAGGATTGGAGAAACACCTTCCTCATCATTGCCAGCCCTGAAAAGCTGCTGAACAAGGGCTACAATAGGTGGAACAAAGATCCGCCTCTTCTAGCAGTGGGTCGCAGCATGCCACTTGTTCCCCTCAAGGCCAAGGAAGAGATCCTTGACCGAGGGCTTTTTAAAGTAGAGATTAGGGCAAACTCTACTACTGGGGTACGAGAGCAAGTGCCCCTAAACTGCGTCCCAGAGTTTCAATGGCTCTATGACGAGTACTTTCTGGCCGCCTGTGGCCTTAGCAGTCGGACCTCCAGAGGTAGCCGACCACTTGAGCATGTATACGTTTTTTGCTTTGTTTTCAAATTTTTTCTAACTCTTTGTGGTTCTTATTTGTAGCTAAAGCTATGGACCAGATTTATGCATCTAAGAAGGCGGCCGCCTTGCTGCGGACCTCCATCATGCATCAGAAGCGGACCTCTTCTGATTCTCCTGCCAAGGAGACGCCCATAGTGAGTTTCTAATCTTTCAAACTTTGTCTTGAAAGCCTGCTATTATTAGTATTGAACATTTCATATTTTTCGCAGGCGGGCATGTCTAAACCCTCCTCTTCCCAGCAGCCGGATACGAAGGCTCGCAAACTGGCGATTGGGAGCTCTCCTGGCTCTGCCAGGAAGCAGTCGGCTGACAAGCAGCCGATCACCCCACAAAGTGTGGGGAAAACATCACAAGTCCTTAGGGACAGTCGGCCGCCAAGAATTATTAATTGCTCTGCTAGACTTAACTTATTTCTTCATCACTTTCTTCATGTTTTTTATGTTTCTCTTTTTTGGATGCAGGCGGCCCTCAAGAACTGGACTTGGTCCAAATGGCCAAGTCTATGATTAAGGTCGTCCCTCAAGAGGAGAGGGATGCAGTCAATGGAGTCGGCACCCTTGACCTAGACGGCATCATAGGTCTCCTTTCTGAGGTAGACTTGGAATATTTTAAAAGTGTTTACTTTGCGTGCCGCCTGTTATTCTCAAATATGACGCCTGTTTTTCCTTTTTCCATACCATGCTGAGAGTACACGGCCTTCGAAGGCCGATTAGCGCCAAGAACAAAGAGGTAAAGGCTGCTAAAACTATGGCCGCCTCTGACGTTGATAAGGCAATGTTTCAAATTGCCCAAAATGAAATTTTGACAACTGATATTCTTTATTATCAGGCGCAGGCCACTTCCACTATCCGCACCGAGTTGGAGGCGGCCAAAAAGAAGAATAATGAGCTAGAGGCGACGGTCAAGGGTCTCCGAGATGATCTAAAGCCTCTTAGGCAGAAGATGACCCAATTTGTGGCCATGGAAAAATCTTTGGCGGCTGTCAAAGATTGCCTGCAAAAGCAGGAGAACACCCTCACTGACGAGCTTTCGGCCAAGGCCGAGAAAGAAAAAATGGAATTAGTCCAGGCCATGATGGAAGAATCGGCTTAGATCATGAAGATGACTTGGACGACCCTCTTCCCAAAATCTCACTATGCCGCCTGGGAGAAAAAGTTCAACGCTTGTACTGAAACGTACAACCAAAAGATCATGAGGCAGACAGCCGAGGAAGACGAGGCGGTTGACTCGAGCTCGGAGGAGGAAGAAGAGGTGGTGGCCCTACAACCGATTGAGGTGGATGCGCATAAAGCTCCTGCCCCTGATGGCAAGTCGTCAAAAGAGGGGGCTTTGAAGAATCAAGCACCCGACACTAAGCTCGATCAGGCGGCAGTTGAAACTCAAGCTCCTCCTAATGTATAAAGCTTTCATTTTGTCAAACTTTTCTCCGGCCTGCGTGCCGTTTGTTCTTGTATCACTTTACCCAGCCAGGGGGTCGGGGTTATTGAATATTTTGCTGGTCTTTATGGCCGGCTGTTTATATGAATTCGGCGACCATCTTTCGGTCGTCTTTGATCACGGAATCTTGTTTTATGCTTTATTTTTGTAAAGTATAGAGGATCCTTTTTGCAAAGTATAGAGGATCCTACTATCCGCTTGTATGTCACACCGACTGTTTCGGCTAAAAATGTTTTAAAATTTGTAACTTATCGTAAGCCAAAGATTGCGAACAGGTACTAGGTACCGACTGCCTATGCCCCTGGACGACTAGTTGTCTTGGTTCCAGGTTAGGCGATCGGTCGGCCATTTACCCAGTTGGACCCCCAACGTATTTTAGGAAATACGTTAGGTTTGTTTAACTTTTTCAAGTAAGAAAGGAACAGGCCGCTTATAACCAGCCCGCCTGTTTGTTAAAATAGGAATAGTTCTTGAGTCCCTGTTTGCCAAAAAGAAGTCGACCTACGAACTAGATTTTCAAACATGTTTGGTTTGAAAAGAAATCATCTTAGTAGAGCTCTGGTTCGCCTTTAGACAGGCGGACTCGTCATACCTTTTTGGATCCTTACTAAGTATGAGAGAGTGACTTACTCGTCAGCTTTTATGCTTGAGTAGTAGAGGTACCAGGCGGCGGTGGCCGGCTGATCCCCTTGATTCACCAATTTTTGTTGGCTATTTACTCAAGAGGTACCGGCTGTACTTATCCTAAGTAATACAGACGGTCATCCGACGCGGATGTTAACTGCTAACACTCGTTTGGTTTAGTGTTAGAGTTATCCTTGTCACAAAAACAGCTACGTGGTTGTCCTTGGGGACAGCTGTCTTGGTGCCGTGTAATTAGTTTATAAAACAATGTTCCACCCAAAAGGGAGCTGCTCTCTGCGACGAATTTTATCCGGAGGGATGCCGCCGGACGCCTCCTATGATGTTGGGACACGTCGTATTAGTTTAAAGATTGGATCAGTTGGCTGGGCGCCTGGTCTGATCATTCGGCAATAGGCCTTAGGTAGTTCATGGCGAACTAAGTATAGAAGAGTAGCCGACTGTATAGCTACAGGCGGCGTGCCCCTCTTAATTGAATGCATATTTGAGTGAAATAGAGAGTAGTCGACTGGTTTACCAGTTGGCATGCCCCTCAATTGATGAGAAGATGGAGAGTAGCCGGCTGCTAATAGAGCAGGCGACATGCCCCTCATAATACAAAATAGATGAAGCAAAATAGTAAACTTTTATTAGTAGCTCTTAGCTATTTACATCATTCAAAAATAATACTTCTTTAGATTATCAACATTCCAGGTTCAAGGCAAGGGTTGGCCGTCAAGTGTTTCCAGGCAGTAGGTGTCGTACCGGACCTTTTCATAGATTCGGTAGGGTCCTTCCCAGTTGGGAGTTAATTTGCTTGACTCATTAGCCCTACCGATTGCTTCCATTTTTCTTAGTACAAAGTCCCCCACTTTGAGTGGACGCCTGTGCACTCTTTTGTTATATGACCT